GCGATCAAGGTCATCCTGGCTAATGTGGTAAAACTCATCTCTACTAAAAATACAAAAGATTAGCTGGGCGTGGTGGCACATGCCGGTAGTCCCAGCTATTCGGGAGGCTGAGGCAGGAGAATCACTTGAACCTGGGAGGTGGAGGTTGCAGTGAGCTGAGATCCCACCACTGCATTCCAGCCTGGGTGACAAGAGAGAAACTGTCTCATTAAAAAAAAAAAAAAAAAAAAAAAGCTTTGCTTTAGGCCCAAAGATGTGCATAGCAGCATTATTTATATAAGAGAATAGGAAACAAGTTTAAAAATATATTTTAGAGCAGGGATCCCCACCCTGGGCTGTGGACTGGTACTGCTCCATGGACCACACAGCAGGAGGGGAGCAGTGGGAGAGCAAACATTATTGCCCGAGTTGTGCCTCCTGTCGGATCAGCAGCCGCATTAAATTCTCATAGGACTGCAAATTCTGTTGTGAACTGTGCGTGTGAGGGATCTAGGTTGTGTGCTCCCTATGAGAATCTAATGCCTGATCTGAGGTGGAACAGTTTCATCCCGAAATTACCCCCCATTCCCCTCCCCTCACCCCTCCGAGTCCATGGAAAAATTGACTTCCACAAAACTGAGTCCTATGCTGAAAAGGTTGAGGACCACTGTTTTAGAGGATTAGGTAAGTGAATCATGTTATATCTACTGGGATCCCCTGAAAATGTTTACAAAGCTGTCTGATAACATGGAAAAATCTTTCTATTATTAACTGAAAAAAAAAAAAAAATCAGGCTGGACAGGGTGGCTCACACCTGTAATCCCAGCACTTTGAAAGGCTGAGGTGGGTGGATCATTGGAGGTCAGGAGTTTGAGAACAACCTGGCCAACATGGTGAAACCCTGTCTCTACTAAAAATACAAAAATTAGCTGGGTGTTGTAATACCAGCTAGTCGGGAGGTTGAGGCAGGAGACTCGCTTGAACCTGGGAAGCAGAGTTTGCAGCGAGCTGAGACTGTGCCATTGCACTCCAGCCTGGCAACAGAGCAAGAGTCCATCTCAGAAAAAAAAAAAAAAAAAAAGATATAATGTGTCTTTGTATTTTAGAAAACAAAGAAAAATGAATAACAAAAACACTGCATTTGCTCTCAGTTGTTATTTTAGAATTTTGTGAGGTTTTAACGTGATTTTATTTTTTTCTTGTTTTTTCCTTTTTTTTTTTCTTTGCAAAGGTTAGGGAGAAGAGGTCTTGCTCTGTTGCCCATGCTGGTCTCGAACTCCTGGGCTTCAGCCATCTTCCCACATCCTAAACTTTAGCCTTCTAACGTTGTGGGATGACAGGCATGAACCATAGCACAGCAGCCAGCTGATTTTAATTTTTTATTGTTCTACATTTATTTTTTATATTGTCCTTAATGAGTCCATGTTATTTGCAAATAGGAAAAAATAACAAATTGTATTAGGTAGTCATCCAAGAATAATAGCTGGTATTTTGATTCTTGCACTTGAGTGCCCAGTTAAATCAGGTGATTCCCAGTTTTCCATGATTCTGTGATTTCTTGCTAAGCAGAGGCTTGGTGAAGACACCTGGGCTTGCTCTGTGGCACTCCTGGAGAAGGAGTTTGTGGTGAGGCAGTACTTCAAAGCGCAGCCAGGCAGGTGGCCTGTGGCGTGTGGGAGTAGCCATTTGACATGGTGGGGAGCATTTCACTAGAGTGGTGGAAGGAGCATGGAGGTAGCTTACTACCCCTGGAAACTGATTACTGGATTGCCATACTGGGGGTGTTCCTGTCTATTTAATGAAAATGTCAAATCTCCTATGTAACATAGGAGACTGTTTGTCCCTCAACCCATATGCCTCCAATCAAATCATCTTGTGTTTCCCTAGGAGGAAAATCTCAATAAATGCTTTTCTCCTAATGGACGATGACCTCCATCTCATTCAAACTCAAAATAGCAGTTTCATACCTCCAAACACATGATCTTATTTGATTTTGACAATTTGATCTTTGAGGTAGGAATTATCTGCAGTTTGAGAATGAGGAAGCTGAGGAAGGGTCTTATGGAGAGGGCAGTGCGCCTATCTGTGAATGGTGGCATTTAAGCTTCATTTGTTTCTTTTTTTTTTTTTTTTTTTTTTTTTGAGACGGAGTTTCGCTCTTGTTACCCAGGCTGGAGTGCAATGGCGCGATCTCGGCTCACCGCAACCTCCGCCTCCTGGGTTCAGGCAATTCTCCTGCCTCAGCCTCCTGAGTAGCTGGGATTACAGGCACGTGCCACCATGCCCAGCTAATTTTTTTGTATTTTTAGTAGAGACGGGGTTTCACCATGTTGACCAGGATGGTCTCGATCTCTTGACCTCGTGATCCACCCGCCTCGGCCTCCCAAAGTGCTGGGATTACAGGCTTGAGCCACCGCGCCCGGCCAGCTTCATTTGTTTCTCTCATATCGTATAATAACTGAAAACAACAGTACTATCTGCTACTTACAGAGCCCCTTCTGTGTGTCAGGCCCTGTTTCAACAGGTTTTCCCAATTGAGGTCACTTAATTCGCTCAATAATTAAGCTTGTGGAACAGGCCAGCCCTGATAGTTGTAAGGAATCTTCTGGAAGGGTCTTGGAGTCCTTATCTTGGTGATCCTTTTGGACCAAGGATGGGTTTGTCTTTTTCTTGGGAAACTACCAGATTGTTAAATAACTGGAAAAAGTCAAGCAGGGAGAGAGTGCAGGTAGAACACCCATTAGAAAGGTGTTCGCTTGGGGCACTTGTCACTACACCCTTCTTGCCCTCGTGCTGGGCACGAACTGTTTCCCCTTGTAGGTATCTCCTGCACACATCTAACCAAGGAGGGTTTGTTTTGCAGTGACAGGAAGGGGCAGGGATGCAGATTTGAAAATTTTGGTTCTACTGGTCAGGTCTTTTCCTGATAGAATACAAAGAGAAGGAGTCACTTTGGGGACAGGGAGAATGAGGGGAGGATGCGGAGACCAGTGTGTGGTGGTGGCACATACATCTGCACGTGCACACCAATGCACGCCCGTGTGTTTTGATGGGACTGTTAGGGGATGATGCTGGAGACAGAGGAAGGCCAACATGCATATTTCTGGAGGATTCCACCTGGTGCCATCTCTGTGTCTGGTGCCTGATGCAACCTATAACACTGGGTGGGGCTGTCAGCCAGCGTTTGCTCTGTTCACTCTGTAAAGCTTGAGGGCACTGACGGGCTCCACCTGCGATAGCGAGGCTGCTGGAGTTTCCTCCCTTTCTTCAAAGAGCCGCTGCTGCCCCCTTCTGGGGTTTATAGGTTGTTTCTGGGAAGAAATACTTCAGTAACTTGGCTTTGTACTACATAGTGTGAAGCTTGGTGCTCCAAGCCCCACAACTCTTTAAAATTTTTTTTACGTTTTATTTTAGATTTGGGGATACATGTGAAGATACAGTGATTTCTTTTCCTTTGGAGAGACACCCAGTAGTGGGATTGCTGAGCTGAATGGTAGTTCTATTTTTAGTTCTTTGAGAAATCTCTCTACTCCCTTCCATAAAGGTTGTACTAATCTACATGCCTATCAGGAGTGTGTAAGCGTTCCCTATTCCCTACATCCTTGCCAGAATCTGTTTCTTGCCTTAATAATAGCTACTCTGGGCCGGGCGCGGTGGCTCAAGCCTGTAATCCCAGCACTTTGGGAGGCCGAGGTGGGTGGATCACGAGGTCAAGAGATCGAGACCATCCTGGTCAACATGGTGAAACCCCGTCTCTACTAAAAATACAAAAAATTAGCTGGGCATGGTGGCACGTGCCTGTAATCCCAGCTACTCAGGGGGCTGAGGCAGGAGAATTGCCTGAACCCAGGAGGCGGAGGTTGCGGTGAGCCGAGATCGCGCCATTGCACTCCAGCCTGGGTAACAAGAGCGAAACTCCGCCTCAAAAAAAAATAATAATAATAATAATAGCTATTCTGACTAGTGTGAGATGAAATCTCATCATGGTTTTAATTTGTATTTTTCCATCGATTAGGGATATTGAACATCTTTTCATATGCTTGTTGGCCACTTGTATGTCTTGTTTTGAAACTATTCATGTCCTTTGCCCACTTTTTAATGGGATGATTTATGGTTTTGTTGCTGTTGTTGACTTCCTTGTAAATTTCAAAACAGACCCAGTAGCTTGTACTCTGAGAAAAGCACCGTTTCTGAAGGCAATACATATCTTGGAGGATTTACAGAGGGATTTGGCTTTAATAGGGCTGGAACTGAAAGTGGGATTATTCTGTTCAGATAGTTACAGTGGAAAGGTGGCTATGTTGGGAGTGAGGAGAAGTCGAATCTCAACCAGCCATAAACCTTGGACTTTGGCTTTCTGGGCCTCATTTTCCTTTTTTGTAAAAGTAGGAGGGTAGACTGGATCAGTTTTCTAGAGGGGGTGACGGACTTCAACAGGGGATGGGGTCTTAAACTTTCCCTTTCCCACAGCCTATGCCCCATTTCAGAGCAGCTCCACTTTGGTTTTTCGTTTGTTTTGTTTTGAGGAGTTTCACCCTTGTTGCCCAGGCTGGAGTGCAATGGCACAATCTCGGCTCACTGCAACCTCTGCCTCCTGGGTTCAGGGGATTCTTCTACCTCAGCTTCCCAAGTAGCTGGGATTACAGGCATGCGCCATCACGCCTGGCTAATTTTGTATTTTTAGTAGAGATGGGATTTCTCCATGTTGGTCAGGCTGGTCTCGAACTCCTGACTTCACATCATCTGCCCGCCTTAGCCTCCCAGAGTGCTGGGATTACAGGCGTGAACCACCGTGCCTGGCCAGCAGCTCCACAGTGAGTGGTTTTATTTATTGGGTGTCAAATAAGATATTGCAGGGAAAGCATGTCCTTAAAAGTCTGAACGCTGCTGGACTAGATGATGTCTGAGATGCTTTCTACCCCTGATGGTGTGATTTTATAAACTTAATATTGAGTCAGAGACTTAGAAGCTGAAATCATAGTGCCCAAAATTTCTCGGTAAGAGCCATGGATGTTTTGCAGGCGGACAGTCCAGAAGACATGCACAGCTGGATTAAGGAGATCGGGGCAGCTGTCCAGGCCCTCAAGTGCCACCCCAGAGTAAGTCACTTCCTTTCTGTTGCACAGTGTCAACTCGGAGATGAATTCCCCTCGAGTGGGCATGTTTTATTTGGTGATATAGGCAAGCAGCCCGGTCTCAAGATGCAGCTGAAGCCCCAGGCTGTCTTGCTTGTTTTTCTCGTTCTACTCATGTGGGTACACATTTTTATATTTCTCATTTTGGTTGTGGGAGGAGGTGAGGTACGGTTGAACAGAGAAATGGAATTTCTTTTCCTTCCTTTCTTTCTTTCTTTTTTTTTTTTTTTTTTTGAGATGGAGTTTCGCCCTTGTTACCCAGGCTGGAGTGCAATGGCGCCATCTCGGCTCACCGCAACCTCCGCCTCCTGGGTTCAGGCAATTCTCCTGCCTCAGCCTCCTGAGTAGCTGGGATTACAGGCACGAGCCACCATGCCCAGCTAATTTTTTGTATTTTTAGTAGAGACGGGGTTTCACCATGTTGACCAGGATGGTCTCGATTTCTTGACCTTGTGATCCACCTGCCTTGGCCTCCCAAAGTGCTGGGATTACAGGCTTGAGCCACCGCGCCCGGCCCTCTTTCTTTCTTTCTTTCTTTTTCTTTCTTTCTTTTTCTTTCTTTCTCTCTTTTTCTTTCTTCTCTTTCCTCCTTCCTTTCTTTCTTTTCCTTTCTTTCTCTCTTTCTTCTTTCTCAGTAACGGAGTCTCGCTCTGTCACCCAGGCTGCAGTTTAGTGGCATGATCTCAGCCCACTGCAACCTCCGCCTCCCGGGTTCAAGTGATTCTCCTGCCTCAGCTTCCTGAGTAGCTGGGATTACAGGCACTCACCACCACGCCTGGCTAATTTTTCTATTTTTAGTAGAGATAGGGTTTCGCCATGTTGGCCAGGCTGATCTTGACCTCCTGACCTCAGGTGATCCACCCACCTCAGCCTCCCAAAGTGCTGGGATTTCAGGCATAAGTTACCACACCTGGCTGAGAAATGGAATTTCTGATATGTCCTGCAAATGTCACTGCCACCATCTGGAGTGAATCCCATTGAATGTATTTCATTTTTGTGGGCAAGCATCCCTGGACCTACGAAGCAGTGATCCTGGTTGGGTACTCTTCCTGGGACTTTGGGATAAACATTGTTTGAAAAGCCCTCAATTTCCTTTGTTTTTTTTCTTCCTTTTATTCTTGTAGGAAGTGTCCTTTTCTAGATCCATTTCTTTGACCCGACCTGGAAGCTCCAGCCTTTCAAGTGGCCCCAACTCTATCCTGTGCAGGGGGCGGCCACCTGTGGAGGAGAAGAAAGTCCTCTGCAAAGCCCCCTCTGTGGCCTCCTCCTGGCAGCCCTGGACACCTGTCCCCCAGGCTGGGGAGAAGCTACTTCCAGCCGAAGAGACTTCAGAGGACTCTTTGTTCATGCCTCGTCCTGGGGAGAGCAGTGCTGCTGGGGTGCTGCCCAGCTCCCGGCTAAGGCACAGATCGGAGCCCCAGCACCCCAAGGAAAAGCCATTTCTGTTCAACCTTGATGATGAAAACATACGGACCTCTGATGTGTGATGGAGCACAGTGCTGTGGGAGGGAGGGAGGACTTGAGAGAAGGAGGCTGTGACTCAGTTTCTCCACCTTGTTGGAGGGTAGTCAGAGGCCTTGATGTCATTCATATTCCTGTGGATGCTCTTTGGGAGGGAGAGGCCCATCCAGCTGGGGGTGTGTGTGTGTGTGTGTGTGTGTTTGTGTGTGTGTGTGCGTGTGTGTGTGTAATATCAATGCAGTGTATTTAATTTGAGGAAGTCATTATGTTAGACCTGTAGGCATACTCAGTGAAGAGCAGGCTACTTATTCTAACTATTCTGAAGTCTTCCTGGGGAGGGGTTATTTTAGCAGCTCCTCTCCAGAGAAGGCTGGAAGTCCAGTTTCACCACTGACCAAATTTTATTTCCTTGTCCTTATTTTAGTTTCTTCATTTTGTTTCCAGTCCAGGTGCTTCGCAGCTCTTTTGGAATGGGCCAGCATTAGACTAACTTTAAACGCTGTGTGTTTTGTACTCTCGCAGACTTGCTTTCTCTTTCTTCTTGCTGTTGCCCTTGGAATGAAGCCTTGTGTTCTTGCATGATCAGACCCTGTAATAGGCTGAGTTTCCACTCACTTAACATGAATAGATACAAAGAGAATCTAGAGAGAGATATTTTTAAAGACACTTGGCATAGAAACATTGATTTAAAGGTTATGAGTTGCCTGCCAGAGAGTCTTCCAATAGAAGAGCATAGAAAATTGTGTGTTGACTGGGCATAGTGGCTCACTCCTGTAATACCAGCACTTTGGGAGGTTGAATTACCTGAGGTCAGGAGTTCGAGACCAGCCTGGCCAACATGGTGAAACCCTGTCTCTACTAAAGAAAAAATGCAAAATTAGCCAGGCACGGTGGTGCATGCCTGTAATCCCAGCTACTCAGGAGGCTGAGGCAGGAGATTCACTTGAACCCAGGACGTGGAGGTTGCAGCGAGCTGAGATCCAACTCCAGCCTGGGCAACAAGAGCGAAACTCCATCTCGAAAAATAAAAGAAAATTCAATGTCCCACCCAAATTTTAGGGCATACCTCCTTCCATTTGATAAGAAGATACTATTGCCAGTGTCCCTGGGAGAATTATTCCATCCAGTTTATATGGTGAATTGCTGCCAGCATTCCCTAAAGGAAGAGAGAACTTACCTTATTTTCCTCTGTAACTTTCATCAGCTAGATCAATTAATTGTATTTTAAAATTAAAACTTAGTTTAAGGAAACCATTTTTACCTGAATAAATTGCTCTCCATGTGTCCAAATCTAATGCAGAGGTGAAAACACTTGGTGAGAACATCCATAGTGGATTGAGGGGAATCATGTTTCTTTCAGGCTTTGCAATTTCCCTGAAGTCTGTGTCACACTGAGAACTTTTTCTGACTCCTTTTATACCAGGACAACTAGGCTAAACTCAATTTAAATGAATAGCTTTAACTAGGCTACAGAGTTAACCTAGTTGTCCTGGTATAAAAAGGAAATCTACATCGTTCCCTCTTTCTCTTCCTTCCATCCCTTCCGGTGCCTTTCCTGTACATGGTGTTGTGCTTTCGCCCTCAGAAATTCTTGGTTTGGAAGTTATGTATTTATGAGTGATTGAGGTTACAACATACTTGGAGTAGCATGATTTCAAGAAGCCATTCCAAATTCTTATAGCTCCTTAGCTCTGGTTTTACCCTCACATTTTCCCCAAGGAAATTCTTTAGCTAGTCAAAGAAAGCACAAAATATGTGATGTGGAACTAATGAAAATAGGAACTTTTGAGATCTCTTTAAATATTCCCTGACTCATGGGAAAAAATGTTCTTTTGCTTTTTACATTGTTAAAACCTACCCATTTATCTCTCTCTCTCTCTCAAATAAATTAGCCAATAGATGACTATTGCTAAAGTAATTGGCCATTGTAATAAGGAGAGTATGTTAAATTAAACATACTTAGGATCCATATGGTATTATCTTGATAAAGGGAAATGAGGATGCTAATTGGCAAACACTTGAGAATTCCAAGTTAGAACATTGCTTGTATATATATATATATATATATATTCAATTTTTAAGAGACAGGATCTCACTCTGTCACCCAGGCTAGAGTACAGTTGAGTGATTACAGTTCATCATATCTTTGAAATCCTGGGCTTAAGCTATCCTCCCATATTAGCTTCCCAAGTAGCTACAACTACAGGGTTGTGCTACCACGCCTGGCTAATTTGTAATTTTTATTATTTTTTATGTACAGGGCCTGGCTATGTTGCCGAGGCTGATCTCAAACTCCTGGGCTCAAGTGATCCTCCTGCCTTGGCCTCCTAAAGTGCAGGGATTACAGGTGTGAGCTACTGTGCCCAGCCAGAACATTGTTAATGTAGTTCAATATCAGATAAATTATTATTGTCAATGAAACAGACTCTAAAGGCATTCTCATTCCGAAACTGTATTTCAAACTTCCTATTTTGTCAATATTTCTTACCTTCTGGCCAATTTTAAACCATAATCTTGTAATGTGAACCAAAGATGGTACGTATTTGACCAGTGCAATTAGTTTTAAATGTATGCAGTTGAACCAAATGGAAAAAATAGGGTGGGGACAGAGTATAGGTTAGTGACTAAGTGTATAGGCTCTGGAATAAATCCGAGGTTTTTTTTTTAAGGAACTAAAAAATGTACTGCATTTTCTTTGTGTAATAAAAACCTCACCTGAGCTGTGCTCTTTTCATCAGGCTTTTGAAGTGGTCTTGACCCACTGTGTATAACAGTATTCCAGGTGGTCTTCCTTATGGCTGGATAATGCCATCCATTAATCTTTAATTTTTATTTTTAGAAACAGTGTTTCGCCCTGTCACAAGGCTGGAGTGCAGTGGCCTGATCATGGCTCACTGCGGTCTAGACCTCCTCAGCTCAAGTGATTCCTTCCTCACAGCCTCCCAAAGGACTCAAATTATGGGTGTGAGCCATCACACCTGTTTTTTTTTTTTTTTTTTTTTTAATAGGTGTGAGCCACCATCCATTATTTTTGAAAGCTTCTATTGACTTGCTTATTCAGGGTCAGCTGATGGTTGGCAAAAATAATTTGGCCCTTAGTGTTAAGTGAGACGTCATAAGAGTATTGAGGCATACATTATAGAGATTGACCTCGGGTCAGAATATTGGAGTCCTACATCCATTTCTGAGTCGAATTCTCAGCTCCCAAGAGAAAGAAAGTAGTTTTAAGGTCCAGCTTTTTAGTCTGTTTGAAGCAAAAGTTTTTTTCTTTTCCATTTCCGAATATAAATATACTCTTATATGAGCTAAAAGGACCCCATGAATAAATAGCAGCTTTAGTAGTTGAGGAGTGGAATTTAGTAGGTTTGTTTTCAGTATAAATCAGATAACGTATGTGGAGGTCACAGCATTTTGGAAACTGAGTGTCCCAAGTGAACTTTGTTTATAAACTTCCGACAAGTTGGAAGCCGACAGGTTTGTTAAATCTTGTCTGCCAGCACCCGTTTCTTCCTTTGTTCCTTTTCCTCTCCGTGTTACTGCCTGCGACAGCCAGTCCTTCATGCTAGATAGAGTTCAGATAAAGCACATGTTTGGCAAAAACATACTGTTTGACCTCCTCCCCCTCTGCTTATGAAGGGGTAGCATGATTCTGTGTTTTAAAGCAGTGATGTTTCAGCTGTGAAATGCACTAGCTGTAAGCACTAGGCTGGGTGCATGGAAACTGTTACGCTTCTCATTTTATGTGATCTCCTAATTGGTATGTAGCAAAAATTTTCTAAAACTGTTTTGTGGCTTGTTTTGTAATAAAACCATGTGAAATATTGAAATATGGTCGTGTGTTTTTCTAATACTGACCTTCTGACCTTTGGGTGGGTGAGCTTTCTTACCAGCCTGCCCCCATGGTCGGTTTTAGGGATTTCACAAGGTAGGTTCCCACTCCGGGTAGTGCTGGAGACCTTCCACTCACTGCCTGGGGGAGGATCTGGCTCCGGGTAGGGATGGGGGCGGGTGGTGGGGGATGTACGGGTGTGTATATGGAGAGGTATGCCAGGCTCTGCCCCTTAAAGTTTGGGGGCCAGCGGAAGCGGGGCCGTGGCCGGAAGAAAGTGTCGCTCATTTAGGAGCGTTTGCAGGTCCAGATGAAGTCACTGAAGAGTGGAAACGAGGAAGGAAGGAGGATGATTAGATCTCAGCTGCGGCCTGCTGGGCTGGGACCATGCCTCCTGCCGGGGCTGCTGCTGCTCCTGGTGCCCGTCCCCTGGGCCGGGGCTAAGAGGCTACAAGCCCAGCTGGCCTGCCCCGCGGTCTGCCAGCCCACGCGCTGCCCCGCGCTGCCCCGCTGCGCGCTGGGGACCACGCCGGTGTTCGACCTGTGCCGCTGCTGCCGTGTCTGCCCCGCGGCCGAGGGTGAAGTCTGCGGCGGGGCGCGGGGCCGGCCGTGTGCCCCGGGGCTGCAGTGCCTCCAGTCGCCCGGCCCCTGGCTGCCCAGCACCTGCAGCTGCCCGACGCGGGGTGCGGCCGTGTGCGGCAGCGACAGACGCACCTACCCCAGCCTGTGCGCGCTCCGGGCGAACAACCGCGCCGCGCGCCGCCGGGGCGAGGTCCCGGCGGTGCCCGTGCAGTGGGGGGACTGCAGGGATACAGGTGAGCTGCGGGGGGCGCGCGCCCTCGGGACGCTTTGTAACTCTGGAGGAGTGTATAGACTCAAGACCTCACGGTGACCACGCGGTGTCCTCCTGCGTCATTTGCCTCCTGGATTCGATCCCTCACTGTACCGATTTTCTTTCTTACTTAACTGGAGCTCTTTACCTGCTGCTGCGTGGTTTCTCCCCATGCACGTTTTGAACACTGTCTTGCCTTTAACATCTTCCCAATGAGCATAGCAGGTCTGGTTCTCTCGAGGCGTACCCTAGAGCGGTTATTTTTTTTATAGGGACCAGGAGCGCAGGCCCACTCAGGAGCAATTACAACTTCATCGCCCCGGTGGTGGAGAAGGTGGCGCCATCGGTGGTTCACTTGCAGCTGTGGCGCAGGTAAAGGGGGAGGAGGAAGACCTCCACTGGCCCAGCTAGTGGTTCCTGTGTGCCTACCTACGCCAGGCCCTTCGCAAGCGTCATTTAATCCCAAAAAACCTCTGTGAGGAAACAGACGCAAAGTGGTTGAATAACCTGTTCAAGGTCATTTAACTAACAAGCAGAAGCACACGGATGCTGACTTCCAAACCCGAGCTCCCCCTGCCCCCTTAGATGCCTGGGGCTTTCCCCCCGCCTCCTCGCACAGACAAAATTGAAGGTCAGATATAAGAGCTAGTAGGCATTTTCTTTTCTTTTTTTTTGAGACAAGGTCTTGCTGTGTCTCCAAGGCTGAATTGCAGTGACAGATCACGGCTCACTGCAGCTCCATCTACCGGGCTCAAGTAATCTTCCCACCTCAGCCTCTGGGGTAACTGGGACTACGGGCATTGCCACCACACCCAGCTAATATTGGTATTTTTTGTACAGATAGGATCTTGTGAAGTTGCCCAGGCTGGTCTCGAACTCCTGGGCCCAAATGATCTGCCACCTTGGCTTCCCAAGGTGCTGGAATTACGGGTGTGATGAGCACCGCACCCAGCTTAGCAGGCATTTTGGTCGTGATCTTGCTCAGCTCCCACTTTGCGTGCAAGGAAATCCAGACCCAGAGTGCAGGGTTAATTAGCCCTACCTCATGAGGCCAGTTGCTGGTGGAAACTAAGCCAGAATCAGAGCCCTTTGATTCTCTCCTGCCAGGGTCCTTGACACTGTGGTAGAAGTCTCACTTTTGCCTACAGTATTAGCATTAGGTTCAGCCTTTTTGTAGCAGAGAACCCACGGGTTACTACACTAACCAGCTCTGAAGAAGCAGTGTCCCTGGAAAAGGAGAGCTAGAGCCAGCTCTCAACCATGCTCACAAGAGATGGCCGGGTCCATGTACATGCATAATTAATACAGAGAGAAAATTTACACATAACCAGGGAAAAGTGAAATGTCTGAGAAAACTGTGATGGAAGGCCACGCACGGTGGCTCACTCCTGTAATCCCAGCATTTTGGGAGGTAGAGGTGGGTCGATCACCTAAGGTCAGGAGTTTGAGACCAGCCCGGCCAACATGGCAAAATCCTGTCTCTACTAAAAATATGAAAATTTCTTCTGATTGTGGTTTGGAAAAAAAAAAAAAAAGGAAATACAAAAATTAGCCGGGTATGGTGGTGCATGCCTGCAATCCCAGCTACTTGGAAGGCTGAGGCAGGAGAATTGCTTGAATCCAGGAGATGGAGGTTGCAGTGAGCCAAGATCTTGCAACTGCACTCCAGCATGAGCAACAGAGTGAGATTCTGTCTAAAAAACAAAACAAAACAAAACTTTGATGGAGGTATGTTTAATAAGAGTGAAGGTCTCCTGACTCTCAGATTATATGGCTGTACCCCTACCTTTCTTGCCCTCTGTTGACACTGTTGTCTTGTGGAGACAGGTTACTTCCCGGCAGCAAGCCTGTTCCTGTGTACAGTGGCTCTGGGTTCGTAGTGTCTGAGGACGGGCTCATTATTACCAATGCCCATGTTATCATGAACCAGCAGGGGATTGAGGTGGAGCTTCAGAGTGGGGCCCACTATGAAGCCATTATCAAGGATATTGACCTTAAATTGGATCTTGCGGTGATTAAGATTGAACCGAATGTGAGTATTTCAGGGCTGAGTCAGAATCTGCATATTTGGGGATTTTTATCTATTTGCTGATATCTTCTGCCCCATTACACTCTCACACCACATCTCTTCTGTCGAGTATATGCTTTTCTCTGGTTTCTTTCTGTTCTTTACTCCCTTATCTGCTTCCATGCCTGTCTGTATATCCCTGTTTCTCCCTTTCTTTCTTCTCTTTCTTTCCTTCCCTCCCTTCCTTCTTTCCTTCCTTCCTTTTTTCTTTCTCTTTCTCTCTCTCTCTTTTCCTTCCTTCCTTCCTCCCTTCCTTTTTTATGGTGAGACAGTCTCCCTCTGTCACCCAGGCTGGAGTGCAGTGACTCAATCTCAGCTCACTGCAACTTACACCTCCTGGGTTCAAGTGATTCTTCTGCCTCAGCCTCCTGAATAGCTGAGATTACAGGTGCCCATGACCACACCTGGCTAATTTTTGTGCTTTTAATAAAGACGGGGTTTTACCATGTTGGCCAGGCTGGTCTTGAACTCCTGACCTCAAGTGATCTACCTGCCTCGGCCTCCCAAAACAGTGCTGGGATTATAAGGGTACGCCACTGCACCTGGCCCCCTAACTGTTTCTATGAACTATCAAGCAGTCTTTTTTTTTTTTTTTTTCCCCCTCCTTCAACTCCTTCTTCAACAGATGCTGCTTCAGGGAAAATTATCTCTTTACTTGGCTTAGGATATCAGAAATTACTGCAATGGACTCAAAGCTGCTAAGGAATACTTTGAAGTCCTTGCTACACATAGTACTGGTGGTCTGCACACCGGATATATCCACGGGGTGTCTGAGAGCTTTTTAGAAATTCAGAATCTCAACCTTCAGCCAGATAGATGCGCTGACTCAGAACCTGCATTTACATAACATCCCTAGGTGATTTGCATGCACATTACAGTCCGAGAAGTGTTGCCCTGGGTGATCTCCTTTCTGTTTGTGGCTTATTCACTTTGACTGTTAACATTTGAGCTGAAATGATGCTGACTAAATTGCTAATGTCAGTTTATGTTCATCAGTGCCTTCACTGACTGTTTACTAATAGTAATTTCTACAAAGTAATTATTTTTGGTCTTAGAAATGATCCTAGTTATCTTAACAATTGAGAGCTTTGCAGTAGTCAGACTTTGAGGAAGTAGTAGAAGGCAGTCATAGAAACTGTGTGAGTGAGCGCTTCTCAGGTGGTAGGGCCAAGGAGATAGAGACAGCGTCATAGATGTGTTAGACACGCATGTTGGTCAATTCTGATCTTGATTTCTTTACACTTTCTGTCCTCCTCATCCCTCTTTGGCCACATGCAGGCTGACCTTCCTGTACTGTTGCTGGGAAGATCATCTGACCTTCGAGCTGGAGAGTTTGTGGTGGCTTTGGGCAGCCCTTTTTCTCTGCAGAAGACAGCTACTGCAGGAATTGTCAGCACCACCCAGCGAGGGGGCAAAGAACTGGGGATAGAGCATTCAGATATGGACTACATCCAGACTGATGCCATAGTAAACGTAAGTCACTTAGAGCTGCCCAACTGTCGGGCACGGGACTGGCACAAGTCCATGGCCTGTTAGGAACTGGGCCATGCAGCAGGAGGTGAGCCACAGGCGAATGAGCGTTACCGCCTGAGCTCTGCCTCCTGTCACATCAGCAGAGGCATTAGATTCTCACAGGAGAACAAACCCTGTTGTGAACTGCGCATGTGAGGGATCTAGGTTTCCTGTTTCTTAAGAGAATCTAACTCATGCCTGATGATCTGAAGTGGAACAGTTTCATCCCAAACTGCCTCTCCATCCATGGAAAAATTGTCTTCCACAAAGCTGGTCCCTGTGCCAAAAAGTTTGAGGATTGTTGACTTAGGAGGCCTATCCTCAGATCATACAATATTGGCAGTTCAGTGAGAAGAAAATGTCAGAGTGACCCCTTTGGTCTTTTGGGGATGTCCAAGTTTGATTAAATCACAGTCGGAGGAATGGAATACCACTTTGTTAGAGTCTGGCCTGTCTGATGTGATCACTGGCATCCGTGCCATTGGGTGGTCTGTTGTGGAGGTCATGCTTCCTGTAAGAAGGTGGGGGTTCCTTGGTGGGGCAGGGTGGCTCACGGCTGTAATCCCAACATTTTGGGAGGCCGAGGCAGGCAGATCATGAGGTCAGCAGTTCAAGACCAACCTGGTCAATATGGTAAAACTCCATCTACACTAAAAATACAAAAAAATTAGCCAAGTGTGGTGGTGGCACACACCTGTAATTCTGGCTACTCAGGAGGCTGAGGCAGGAGAATCGCTCGAACCTGGGAGGCGGAGGTTGCAGTGAGCTGAGATCATGCCGTTGCACTTTAGTCTGGGTGACACGGTGAGACTTCATCTAAAAAAAAAAGAGAGAAGGTGGTGTCCCACTGCTATTGTTCTTTACCTATGGCTGACTTCAGAACTGGTGATCATAGGGGCAGAATTTTGCCAGCCTGCGGGGGAAAGGAGCTTACTATAGTGGGCTGCTTTTGGTAAATTGGGAGTTACGTATAAAGAACAAGGGAAATGTATTCATTGGCTTCACTGATGTCTTTTTCAAATTCTGCTTTTAGCAAGGGAATTCTGGTGGTCCTCTGGTGAACTTGGTAAGTGGCCACTTTCCTTGTTGCTCCATGTTTCTTCTTAACTTTCAAAGACTATTAATTCCAGGCCAGGGATTGTGGCTCACCCCTGTAATCCCAGCACATTTGGGAGGATTGCTTGGGGCCAGGAGTTCGAGACTAGCCTGGGCAACATAGCAAGACACCATATCTACAAAAACAGAAAATAAAAATGTCTTTACGTATTCCATGGTGCAGACTTGGGTACTACTCTTGTGTAGAGAGCTGTGGAATGGTGCTTTTCTGCTTTGGGACCTTAAGTCAATAGTTAGAAAAAAATTCAAGATGATTATCCTGGTGTGTGATCTCATCCCACTGAGAACACTAGGGTTCTAGCTCCAGGTTTCTTTGAATTTTTTCTCTTCCTTATGCTTTCTGGTTTCATTGGCTAGTTACCAAAAGCCCTAGAATTTACTTATTTAATAGAGATGAGGTCTCACTATGTTGCCCAGGCTGGTCTCTAACCGCTGAGCTCAAGTGATCTCCTCCTGCCTCAGCCTCCCAAAGTGCTAGGATTACAGGTGTAAGCCACCACTCCATGCCAAAAGCCTTGGACATTAAACCCAGACTTACGCCAAATGACTTGCTGTGCTATGAAATGTAGCTCCTGGAAGATCCCCTGATGCTGCATATGAAGAACTGTCTCTCATTTAAAAATGCTGATTATGTAAGTGCAAGTTTTTAGTCTTTACCTCTTGATCTGCTTATAGGTGACAGAAAAGCCACAACCAGCACTCTTGACTGCAAGTGAGCTGCCTGCCTCAGCCTCCCAAACACATTGCTCTGTCATGTATTCTTAAATTGTGTTCTGTGTCCCTAGTGGAAATATCAGGGTTTCCAGTTGCTCAAATACATGTGAAAACCTAAGAGAGTGCAATGCTGTTTGACATACAGCTTGTGATCATCTTTTCTGAGTCCCTTTGCACTGATTGCTTTTGGTTCCTGTTTAAATATTACATTTGCTTTTAGAATGAATAGTATGCAAAATGCTTGTTTTTTTTTTATTCATAGCATTTCATGTAATTTTTATTTGTTTTGTTTCTGCCTTCTCCATTAGTCGATGAGTTTACTAGAGCATCGAAGAAATGCAGAATTTCAGGCCACACCCCAGACCTACTGAATTACAATCTGTAGTTTAATTACAACGAGAAATCTCTTTTCTGGCCAGGTGCGGTGGCTTACTCCTGTAATCCCACCACTTTGAGAGGCTGAGGCGGGTGGATCATCTGAAGTTAGGAGTTCAAAACCAGCCTGGCCAACCTGGTGAAACCTATTTCTACTAAAAATACAAAAAAACAAAAAAGAAAAAAGAAAAGAAAAAAAAATAGCTGGGTGTGGTGGCACAGGCCTATAATTGGGAGGCTGAGGCAGGAGAATTGCTTGAACCTGGGAGGCAGAGGTTACAATGAGCCGAGATTGCACTAATGCACTCCACCCTGGGCAACACAGCAAGACTCCATCTCAAATAAATAAATAAATAATAAATAAATAAATAAGAAATTTCTTTTCTGTCCTTTCCCATTACCTAACAAAGGCTGAAGGAAGATGAGGTATATAAAAGGAAAATATTTTCTACCTCATACCTTTAGCTTAGCAGAGCTTTGTTCCCTGAGGTCAATTTTGTCAATTTTTCTGAATAGTTTCAACGCAGTGTTGCTGACAATCCCACAGCTTTTTACCTTTTCCATGTTTATTTTTAGTTTCAGTTAAATAATTAAAAAGGCAAATACTCCTTGTCCTTCTACCTGTGTCAAAATACAAACTGTGGCTCACTTTCAAAGTCAATGTAACTTACTAAAGAAAAAAATGAGCTCAAGATTTTAAAAAATCCTCAGCATCCTTGATCCTTTGGCGGTGAAAAGAAGGTAACTTCTGTGCATGTGCAGTTACCCTTTGCTGTTCCATCATACTATTTGCCTTAAAAAGGAACATCCGTTGCTCTTTTTTGAAGATGTGCAAAGTTCGTCTTGGCCCTGTTTTCTGACCCTAAGTAACTAGCTTCACTCCTTCCTCTGGTCTTGCACTCTTCAGTCTGCAAAACTTCATGACTGAATGATGTCCCCTCCCTTGCCAGGATGGTGATGTGATTGGCGTCAATACATTGAGGATGACTGATGGAATCTCCTTTGCAGTTCCTTCAGATCGAGTTAGGGAGTTCTTGGCAGAATACCATGAGCGCCAGTTGAGAGGTAAAGCAAATTGGGTTTTTTGCAGGACTCTCCTTTTGTGCTTTTCAGAAACACTCAATCGTTTGTGGTGACAGCCATTTTTTTTTTTTTTTTTTTTTTTTTTTTTCTGAGACAGACTCTTGCTCTTGTCACCTGGGTTGGAGTGCAGTGGCATGATCTTGGTTTATTGCAACCACTGCCTTCTGGGTTCAAGCAATTCTCTTGCCTCAGCCTCCTGAGTAGCTGGGACTACAGGCACCCACCACCATGCCCAGCTAATTTTTGTATTTTTAGTACAGACGGGGTTTCACTATGTTGGCCAGGCTAATCTTGAACTCCTGACCTCTAATGATCCACCTGCCTTGGACTCCCAAAGTGCTGGGATTACAGGTGTGAGCCACCTCACCTAGCCCGGAGACAGCCATCTGAATCCTGTAGACAACTGGGTCACTCATTTGTACTCAGCTTCTATAATGGTGATTCAGGCAGCAATATTGTGGGACTAGGCACAAGCCAAGCATGAGTTGTACCCATAAATATTTGGACTGAGCTAATGTGGAAATGAAACCCAGGGCTGGAGGCAGAGAACTGGGTGGGAAGAGTATAAGTGCTAATGACAGAGGTTCCCTGAAGCCTGTGTTTCATGCAGTAACCTGAAAGGACAGCTATGATGGCAAAGAGATCCTGGAACGTGGGTGTCTTTTAAACTGTGCTAACAGGAAAGAGGTTTTGTTGTAACACATCATAACTTTCCTTTCCAGGAAAAGCGTTTTCACAGAAGAAATATCTGGGTCTGCAAATGCTGCCCCTCACTATGCCGTAAGCCTGTGTTTGAATATGTCTGGGTTGTTTTTCAGAGGCAAAAACTGTAGCTGCACAGTCTTAGCAGAAAAGCTGAGCCACATGGGTCACACTCTTGTGACCCTAGGTTCTTTCTGTCTCAGGGTTATGTATCTGCCTCTGCCTGCGTTAGCAGTGGCTATACATAGTTTATTTCACTGTGGCTCTATTTTATAATGTCCAGTGGTTCTAGGCTTTGGCATAAAGGCTCAGCTTGCACCCCCAGGCTGATTAGAATGATTGTGATTAGCTCGATGGAGTCTTCCTAGACCCCTGTGAACCTTGAGCAGAACAGACTCCTACTGAGAGTTCCAGGTTTTTACCAGGCTAATTCATTGTGTTTCCTAATCTTCTCACTTCCCTTAGCCTTATTCAAGAAATGAAAATGCGTGATCCAGCTTTCCCCAATGTGAGTTCTGGGGTTTATGTATGTAAAGTGATCGAAGGAACATCTGCTGAAAGGTAAGAGAAGGGCAGGCCTTTGTTGTCTACCTTTGCTTTTTCTAGATGTGTGCCGTGGTAAGACACATGGAGGGTATATAGAGTTGGTCTGACCAATACAGTGGCCACTACCCACATGTAGTATGTACTGGACACATGAAGTGTGGCCGATGTGACCGAGGAACTGAATTTTGAATTAAATTAAGTTTAATTTAAATTAAAAAACCCAGGCCAGGCACAGTGGCTCATACCTGTAATCTCAGCACTTTGATAGGCCAAGGTGGGTGGATCATCTGAGATCAGGAGTTCTCATCTCTACTAAAAATACAGAAGTTAATGGGTGTGCCCAAACACAAAATATTTTTCCATGAAATGTGTTGGAAGAACTGCATTTCACTTTAATTACTGCATTGTATATGATATTATCAGCTGAGGAGCAATGGCTCATGCCTGTAATCCCAGGACTTTTGGAGGCCAAGATGGGTGGAATATTTGAAATCAGGAGTTCAAGACCAGCCTGACCAACATAGTGAAACCCCATCTCTACTAAAAATACAAAAAATTAGCTTGGCGTGGTGGTGCATGCCTGTAGTCCCAGCTATTTGGGAAACTGAGGCAGAATTTCTTGAAACTGGAGGCAGAGGTTGCAGTGAACTGAGAACACACCACTCCAGCCTGGGCAGCAGAGTGAGACTCTGTCTCCAAAAAAAAAAAAAAAAAAAAAAAAAATTATCATTGTGTAATAGCATATTGGAGGTGTGTGTTGTTTCAAGTGGATTTCAAAGACATAGGCAACAGAGTGTAAAATACCTATTAACAATTTTTAAAATATCACGTTACAATGATAATATTTTGGATATGTAATGTTAAATAAGATATATTATTGAAATTAATTTCATCTGTTTAAAATTTTTAAAAAATGTGGCTACAAGGAAAATTTAAAATTACATATGTGGCTTGCATTATTGTCTATAGGACAGTGCTGATGTAGACTTAGGTAATTATAAAGGCCTTTTTTGTATTTTGGGAGGGAGGTGGTTCTCTATAGTCTAAGAAGAGCTCATGTTACGAGTTAACAGCGTAAGTTTCAATAAATTTGGCTAGGAATTTCCAACCCACTATTTCAATATGAATAGTCACTACTTAATAATTATTAAGTGTTTAGTACCTATTAGGTGTTAGTAACTATTAACTATTCATTAACAGGTACTTTTTTTTTTTTTTTGAGACAGAGTCTCACTCTTGTCCCTCAGGCTGGAGTGCAACTGTGTGATCTCGGCTCACTGCAACCTCTGCCTCCCAGGTTAAAGTGATTCTCCTGCCTCAGCATCCCGATAGCTGTTATTACAGGCACCACCACCACACCTGGTTAGTTTTTGTATTTTTAATAAAGATAGGGTTTCACCATGTTGGCCAGGCTGGTCTTGAACTCCTGACCTTAAGTGATCCACCTGCCTCAGCCTCCCAAAGTGCTGGATTACAGATGTGAGTCACTGTGGCAGGCTCATTAATAGTTATTATTAAGAATGGGAAGAATTTAAAGTGTTAAAAGTTTGAGAACATGTTTTAGGTTTTTATTTATTCATTTTTTCTTGAGACTGGAGTTTCGCTCTTGTCACAGGCTGGAATGCAGTGGTGCAATCTTGGCTCACTGCAGCCTCTGCACCCTGGGTTCATGGGATTCTCCTGCCTCAGCCTCCCAAGTAGCTGCCATTTCAGGTGTCCTCCACCACACCCAGCTAATTTTTGTATTTATAGTAGAGACAGGGTTTCGCCATGTTGGTCAGGCTGGTCTCTAACTCCTGACCTCAGGTGATCCACCCGCCTTGGCCTCCCAAAGTGCTGGGATTACTGGCGTGAGCCACCGCACCCAGCCATATTTTAGGTATTTGAAAATATATTTTTCAGCCAGGCATGCTGGCTTTCCCCTGTAATCCTAGCACTTTGTGAGGCTGAGGTGGGAGGATTGCTTGAGCCTGGAAGTTCAAGACCAGCCTGGGCAACATAGTGAAACCTTTTCTCTACAAAAAATAAAAATTAGGCCTGGTGCAGTGACTCACGCCTGTAATCCCAGCTCTTTGGGAGGCCGAGGTGGACAGATCACTTGAGGTCAGGAGTTTGAGACCAGCCTGGCAAACTCGGTGAAACCCCGTCCCTTCATAAAAAGTACAAAAATTAGTGTGGTAGTGCATGCCTGTAATCCCAGCTACTTTGTAGGCTGAGGCCATTGAATTGCTTGAACCTGGGTGGTTAAGGTTGCAGTGAGCTGGCATCACGCCACTGTACTACAGCCTGGACAACGAAGCGAGACTTGCTTTCAAAAAAAAAAAAAAAAAATACAAAAATTAGCTGGGCATGGCGGCTTGCACCTATGGTCCCAGTTATTTGGGGAGGTTGAGATGGGAGGATCACCTGAGTCTGGGCTGTAATGATCTGTGATCATGCCACTGCACTCCAGCCTGGGTAAGAGTGAGACCCTGCCTGAAAAACAAAACAAAAACCAACCAAATAAACAAAAAAGAAACTACACCAAAACCCTACCAAACCCACATTTTTCTTTGAATTCTGAATGACAATATCAGAAGCTAGGAGTAAGACCTGTGTAATGAAGCAAAGGCTAGACCAGCTTCCAAAACAAGGTTCTCCAGCTGGTTTCACTGTTGTTTCAAAACATTTAATATTAAGTACTGAGGGAAGAAGTGGCTTGTCTTACTATTACCATTCTCCTGGGCTTCTCTTTTGTACTTCTTCATTATGCTTTTCTCACTGTTTTTATTTTTCAGGAGTTCAGAAATCTGTTTAGATTATGGCACCACTTTCACTGGGACTTTCCCCCTAGTGAAATCAGAGAGCACTAACTGTCAGCATAGCTGTCATAAGTCTCACGTCAGTAAATTTGGGTTGTCCCTGGCTTTTCTGGACTGTCCTCATTCCTGCTCTGCTCCACTCTTCCTCCACCTCCTTAAAGGTCTAAGTTCAAGGCCAAAGCTATTTCTTTTCTTTTCGAGATGGGAGTTTCATGCTTGTTGCCCAGGCTGCAGTGCAATGGTGTGATCTAGGCTCACCGCAACCTCCGCCTCCCATGTTCAAGGGATTCTCCTGCCTCAGCCTCTTGAGTAGCTGGGATTACAGGCATGTGCCAGTATGCCTCGCTAATTTTATATTTTTAGTAGAGATGGAGTGTCTCCATGTTGGTCAGGCTGGTCTTGAACTCCTGACCTCAGGTAATCCACCTGCCTTGGCCTCCCAAACTGTTGTGATTACAGGCGTGAGCCACTGCGACAGCCCAGCCAAAGCTATTTCTTTCAGCTAAGTCTTTGCTACTCAGAATGTGGTCTGTAGACCAGCGTCATTAGCTCAGCGGGGGCTTGTTGGAAAGGAGAATCACAGGTCCCACTTTTGATCCACTGAATCAGAATCTGGATGTTTAACAAGATTCCTAGGTGATTCATATGTATGTGAAAATTAGTGCTGGAAGTTGCTGATAAACAGAAAAGTGGGGCTGGGCATGGTGGCTCATGTCTGTAATCCCAACTACTCAAGAGGCTGAGGCAGGAGAATCCCTTGAACATGGGAGGCGGAGGTTGCGGTGAATCTGTAAATCCTGGAACTTCGGGACTCTGATGCGGGAGGATCATTTGGAACCAGGAGTTCGAGACCAGCCTGGGCAACATAGCGAGACCCTGTTTCTAAAAATACATACATAAATAAAAGAAAATCAGCTAGGTGTGGTGGCGCATGCCTGTAGTCCCAACTACTCAGGCGGCTGAGGCAGGAGGATCATGTGAGCCCAGGATTTTAAGGCTGCAGTGAGCCATGACTGCACCACCGTACTGGTTAAGAGAATGAGAGCCTATCTTAAAATAAACAAATCCATTCTTTCTGTCCTTATACCTAATAAATAACAATATACCTAATAATGATACTTAATAACAATAATTAATAACAATAACTTATAACTAATAATGATAATTATACCATTAAAATTTTTACTATATCTCAGGCACTGTTTGAAATGTTTTATTTTTTTGAGACTGAGTTTTGCTCTTGTTGCCCCAGCTGGAGTGCAATGGCCTGTTCTCGGCTCACTGCAACCTCCACCTCCCAGGTTCAAGTGATTCTCCTGCCTCAGTTTCCCAAGTATGTGGAATTACACGCTGAGCTAATTATTGTACTTTTATTAGAGGCGAGGTTTCACTGTGTTGGCCAGGCTAATCTTGAACTCCTGACCTCAGGTGATTCTCCCAAAGTGCTGGGATTACAGAAGTGAGCCACAGCTCCAGGCCTATTTGAAGTGTTTTATACACCTGTTTGTGCGACCAACAGTTTTATGATATAGGTATTATTTTACAGAGGAAGCAGCTGTGGTACTGAGAGGTTAATTAACTTGTAGAACACAGTAAATTAGAGAGCAGAGAGCAGGGATGTGGGCCCTGGCTTAACCCTTCTATTATCCTGCTTTTGTGGCGGCTTTTTTGTTTCTGAGAGGCAGAGTGATTTAGTGGCGAGAAGATAGGTTCCCAAGTCTGATGAAATCCTGCTTTAGCCGCTCACAAGTTGCGTGACGTTTTTTGTGTGGGATTTCATCAGACTTCATTTGTCCTGTCTGAGCCATAGTTCCTCATATTTGGTGCATAGCAGGTTATTAGTAATAATTTGTGGGTTTCTCTTTTCTGACTCAGAACTAGTATGAATTAAGTAAGTTCTCTTTAAGTTCTTTCTTTGTACTTACTGGTCCCAAGTCGTCGTCCTAAACTGTCCTTTTCTTTTTTTCTTTTTTTTTGAGACGGATTTTCACTCTTGTTACCCAGGCTGGAGTGCAATGGTGCGATCTCGGCTCACCGCAACCTCCGCCTCCTGGGTTCAGGCAATTCTCCTGCCTCAGCCTCCTGAGTAGCTGGGACTACAGGCATGTGCCGCCATGCCCAGCTAATTTTTTTGTATTTTTAGTAGAGACGGGGTTTCACCATGTTGACCAGGATGGTCTCGATCTCTTGACCTCGTGATCCACCCGCCTCAGCCTCCCAAAGTGCCGGGATTACAGGCTTGAGCCACTGCGCCCAGCTAAACTGTCCTTTTCTAAGGTATTTCTTGCTTTTAGTTCTACACTTAAGCTTCTCTTCACATCCTCTTGCTTTAAACTTCCTCTTTTTAAACTCCACATATCTTGATGATCAAACCACATTACCATTCTTCCTTGAGCTTCCCATTTCTGTTAAATGCTGTCTCCTGGAGTCATTTGCTCTTCTTTTTTCAGCTTATTTTCACCTTTACGACAAATCACTGGCATGGCTATCTCTGTGTTGTAGTGTTTGTATTTGGAGCTGGTTTTTGCTTCTAGAATATATAATCTATGTGAAACAATTATGTTGAAGACTATTAATAAAGTCACAACTTTGGGGAAAAGGACCCTAGAGCCAGAGCTTGACATATTTAGACTCAGATGTTGCTGGGTTTTTGATTTACTGGAGGCAGAATTCCTGTAATTCTGCATCCTTTCCAGCTCCATAAATTTGCGGGGAAGATGGGCAAGTGAGTGGGCTGCCAGAATCAAACCGATCAGGGTTTAAGTGTCTGGGAGAAAACATATCACTTGGGCTTTTCACTTTGGCTGCTGGGGCTGGGAGTATGTTTGAAGTTCACAGAGGTCAGGGATTGATAGAAATTAAAAGCTGAACTCCCCATTCCAAACCAACTTCTAAAAATGGGAGGAATAAACTTCTCAATAGGAAATTAATTTTGTAAAGGTAAATAAGAGAGTTGTCCTTCAGGTGACTTTTTTGCAGCATATTTTAGAATAGCCTTAAGATTTGGAAGGATTGAGGCTATTTCCGGATTTCTGTACGCTCAATGCCAGCAAAATAGTGCCATTAAGACAGACATATTTAATTATAGATGGGGATAAGTAAAATTCTTTGAGTTTCATGGTTTTTTTTTTTTTTTCTCCCTCTCTCTCAGCTCTGGATTGAGAGGCCACGATGTAATTGTCAACATAAATGGGAAACCTGTTACTACCACAACCGATGTTGTTGAAGCTCTTGACAGTGATTCCCTTTCCATGGTTGTTCTCCGGGGAAGAAGTACCTTGTTCCTGACAGTCACACCTGAAATAATCAATTAAAGACCTTGCTTTAAAGTGGGATTATCTAAAAAAAAAAAAAAAAAAAAAAAAAAAGTTATATTACCTGGTTTGTATGAAGATGTACCAAACATGGAGTTTTTGGATCTTTTTCTTATAAAGAAAAATGGATGATATCAACCCAAAGGCCCATCAGTGACAGACTGGATAAAGAATATGTGGTACATATACACCATGGACTATTATGCAACCATGAAAAGGAATAGTACTCTGTAGGAACATGGATGGAGCTGGAAGCCCACAAAAGAACAGAAAACCAAATACTGCATGTTCTCACTTATAAGTGGGAGCCGAACAATGAGAACACATAAACACAGGGAGAAGAACAACAAATACTAGGTCCTGGCAGGGGGTAGGGTGGAGAGAGGGAAAGGGAGAGCATTAGGAAAAATAGCTAATGCATGCTGGGCTTAACACTTAGGTGATGGGCTGATAGGTGTAGCAAACCACCATGGCACACGTTTACCTATATAACAAACCTGCACATCCTGCACATGCACTGCAGAACTTAAAATAAAAATAAAGAAAAATGGTAATCTTTTATGAAATTACAATTAAAAAAGGAAAATGGAGTTTTAAACACATACATACACTCAGGGATCATTAGGTTGGGGTATTAATACTGTTGCTAAGATGCCTGACTATGCCAAGTGAGAGAAGAACATGGTGCCAGGAAGTCTGGGGGAACTGGTAACATTTTGTTAAAGATAAGAAACCACAAAAAAACAGGCAGTTTCTAATTTAACCTTGAAAGAAGGACACTGTAGTATTTTAAATCTTCTCTATAGACATAAACTACATATAATACACACATATACAAATAGATCTATCTACCAAAATTTAAGAAACAACCTGAATAAAGTGCAAAGGCAATCCATTTTTAAGTAATACTCCTTTAGTGCATCAGGTTTTCAGGTTGTATCACATTTGGCCAGGTTTGTGGGTAGATGGAAAATGGGTGTTACTAAGAAGTCAAATGGAAACCGGTAACTTTGGACTCTCACACAGGAATATTGATGATTCTGAAATTAAATTACCACTCTAGCAGTAAGAACAACTGTTGTCTCCAGCAGCTTTTCTGACTGTGACAAGGGCATCTTCAGTAGTTTCCAGTCTTTTAGTCTTTTAACCAAGCTCTTCCCCTGGCAACATAAATGACTTCAAATCTTGGAGCTGCCAAAGTTTTTCTTTCTTGAGACAAAGTCTTGCTCTTGTCATCCAGGCTGGAGTGCAGGGGCAGCATCTCGGCTCACTGCAATTTCTGCCTCCCAGGTTCAAGTGGTTCTCCTACCTCAGCCTCCTGAGTAGCTGGGATTACAGGTGCCTGCCACCACACCCGGCTAATTTTGTGTTTTAACTAGAGAAGAAGTCTCACCATGTTGGCCAGGTTGGTCTCAAACTCCTAACCTTAAAGGATCCACCTGCCTCAGTCTCCCAATGTACAGGGATTACAGGCTTGAGCCACTGTGCTGGGAACAAAGTTTCTTATTTTTTAAAGAAAACAACTTCCGATGGGGTTATGAATATTGTTAGGTTAGAAAAAAGTGTGAAATGAGGCAGAACTTGATAAGGTTTAAAGTAGCATCTTATTTTGGGTAATATTATAATTTGTTTTTATTTTTCAGACTTCCCTTATAAGTGAGTGTTTTTAAAAAAACATATGGCATCCTTGAACTCTCTGAGACTTTTATTTGTATAAATTTATGGGGTACAAGTACGATTTTGTTTCATGCATAAATTGTACAGATGAACCCCTTAAGTTCTATGTAAATCCTGTGTATGTGCATTTTTCTGGGGAGAGGGTTTAGTTTCTTCATGACCCATAAAACTTTAATAAACACTGACTTAGGGTATAGAGATTATGAATTAAAAGTTTACCAATTGTTACATTATAAGCAAGGTTAAGGTCAGTGTAGTACAGAACTTTCAAGACAAAATAGGCTCATCTGTTTTAATTTTTTATACAGAATTGCCACATTTAATAATGTAAGAACAGTGATTATATTCATCAGGAATGATAAGGCAAGAAATTCTTAGGAAAGCTACAAAATGATGGAATGTATCTAGGGAAGTTAACTGTGATATCTGGTCTTAAAGTCAATTATGATGAGGTAAACTTCGAGTGAGGTCTACTTCATTTCTAGAATTTGTAAGTTATTCTGAGTAACAGACTCTGTCACTGACTTGGCCACATTGCCTACCTTTGATTTTTATTTTTAAAAATAAAGATGGGGTTTCACCATGTTGGTCAGGCTGGTCTTGAACTCCCTACCTCAGGTGATCTGCCCACCTTGGCCTCACAGTACTTGGATTACAGGCGTGAGCCACCACGCCCGGCCTCTGCCTTTGATTTTATATTTAATAGTTCTTTTCAACTTGGATTGCAAAGGATGGGAACTGAGTTTTTAAAACCACTTACAGTTTGGAACATCTCCTTTAATTCTCGGTGATTTGGGAACACAAAAGTGTGGCTGTATCTCTTTCTGACTGCTGCAGCACACAGGGAGAGCTTTAGTATCGTGCTTCTTTAGAGAATGTGCTCAGTTTCTCTTTGCTCTCATAAATCACATCCCAATTTAGCAGAAGTATATTTTCCTTTTCGAAGCCACAAGGCTCCTTACTTTATCTCACCTAATCACGAAGAATAGTTTTACAGAAACTTGTGGGAAATCTTATTACCATGGGCTGGTAAATGCAAATTTATAACATGGGCTGGTAAATGCTGATTTTTGGATTGGACAACTCTGCCAGGAGGAGTAGCTCAACTCACACGTCTGATGCCGCTGGCTTTCAAAACATAACTGGAATGAAGAAATTATTGTGCTGCATATACTGCCTCTGGAACATAATGGAGACACAAGAGAGCTTAATAGGGTGGCTCATTTCAAATGACTAGATTTCTGCAAAACAAATACAATTTTGAGTTTACTCCCCATACTAAAAATACTCATACAGTACTCCAGGTTGGCAAAATTTATTCTGCATTTAGATTCAGAAAGTCAGACTTTCAGTGTGTATTACATTCCGCGGCCATTTCCACTTCTGCTGAAGATTTTCATTGTTCAGCTTCAAATCTCCTTGCAGGAAGACTCAGGGTCACAAAAGGAATGTGGATACAAATACTCACTTGGCTCAACTTGTTAAATCCACTTGCTCCGAAGGACTGAACATATAGCAGTGTACAGAAAGGAAGACTCTGGAAACTCATCCACAGCCTGTAAACTCGTCACTGTCCTTTATGTTTCGTGCACAAGGAAAGGTACAAATTTGATTCCCACAACAGTTTTCGCTTGTCATTTCTAGTCTGTAAGGTAAAATCTGGGTTGAAATTCCGAAGTCCAAAGAAGCCTTCTTAACCAAAACTTCAAAAGAGGGAAAATAACATCAGGTCTGATATCAAAGAAGAGTTTTGAGCCTGTAGAGATGAATTCAGAAGACAGAGCTTTCACCTGCCTCCCTGGGCCTTGACAGCAGCTCTTTTTAGTAAACAGTGCACCAGTTGCTGCCATCACTTGGCATCAGCCCTCCAGTAATTAGCAAAATGAGGTCAACAAACCACCAAATCCCAAGTCCTCCAAGTGTCAACAGCTTCCCTACTGCAGTGCCAGTGTGTCCCAAGCAGAATCGATCCACGCCAAAACATCCCAGGAAGAAGGAGTAGAGTAAAGTGGTTATGAAGTAATGTCCAGTATACCTAGGTGAAAGGAACAAAAACGAAGATGTATGATTGCACAAAAATTTAAACACATAAAGATTAGTGAATTTAACATAAGTGATGAGAAGATGCAGTGGACCCTCTGTGGCCTTTTAGCCTCCATTTTGTTTTCTTTTATGATATGGTCAGTGAGGTGAGAGGCTCAGGAAAAACCAAAGTTTATTATATTCATAGGTCCTAGAGACAGGAAGCACATGATGTTATACAGGGCTACCTGGCAAAGATACCTGGGGGGGTTGAAAGAAGCAAGGGGGAGGTTTTAGGTCACTATCTTCCTTGGGGTTTCTGTAGGAAAGGCAAGACTGGGCAGGGCAAATAGTTTAGAATTGGCTAGTTTGAATAACTTCAGTAGGCTCTAAGGTATAGGAGTGGTCCCTGGTTGCCTGGCACTTGGCCCTGAGAAGTTTAAGGCAGAAGAGTATTATTTACTGGTGTGTATAGGCCAGAAACAGAAGATATGTGTCTGAACTAGTTTGCATATCAAAGGCATGTTCCCTGTTGGGCCCTCTGCTATCTCCAAGAAATGACTAGCTTCAGTAAAGGCAGTCTCCTCATAGCCAGAAAGGTTTTTAAGATGTCAAATGTCGCAACGTAAACCAATTTAAAAAACTTTTTGACCAAGTCGCGGCGGTTCATGTCTATAATCCCAGCACTCTGGGAGGCTAAGGAAGGAGAAGCATTTGAGCCCAGGAGTTCCAGGCCGACCTGGGCAACACAGCAAGGCCCTGTCTCTACAAAAACCAAAAAACAACAACAACAACAAACCCAATAATAATTAGCCAGCTGTGGTAGACTATGCCTGTAGTTCCAGCTAATCAGAAGGCTGAGGTGGGAGGATCTTTGTGCCACTACACTCTAGCCTGGGCAACAGAAAAGACCCCATCTCTAAAAATATATATATATTTTTATAATATACCCTCTTCACCCTTATTTTACTCTCTTTTAAGAATCTCTAGTTTGTAGAGGGTCTCAATAGAATACTTGCTAAGATACGGAGATCCCTAAGAACAAATACAAACTTAAGAGTTGGACTGGACAAGGAGTCATCAAGCACATTTACACAACTGGCACCACGGTAGGAGGAGGAGTCTGGGCTCCCATCCTGCTCTGCAGAGGGTCTTTTCCTGAGACTCAGCTGGCTTCCTGCGTGTAGTTCTCTAAAGAAGCCCTGTCCTTATATGAACACTGGATCTTCATATACTCTTTCCTGTTGTTTTGTGGCAGCTAAAAGCAAGGACTTCTTCATAAGGCTCTGCCTTTATACACTGTGCTGACATAGCTGCAGTTACTCTAA